CAGCGGATGCTGGCTGGGGAATTCTGGGAGTTGAAGTCCAGACATCTTCAAGTTGCCAAGGTTGAGAAACACTGCTCTAAACCTTTCAGTCGCCTGTATGTGAGTTGGGCGGCCATATAGATTTAAGAAATAAATAAAATAAACTCCTTTTACCTACTTTCTCTGAGTGCCGGTGCAGAACTTGAAAACCATGCAACATCTCCTCCAACATCTGTTTCAAGGCTGTAGCTTTTATAAGCCATCCTGACATGCTGAGGAGAAGGTTCAGATAAGAGGGATGGGTAGCACAGATGCCTGCAGTTTTCGTAGCATCATATGGGAATTTATTGTGGGCATTCTGCAAGATGCTTTTTGCCTTTTTAGTAATTTACCTTTTATGAACTGATGGTGCATAACTATCGCTTTCAAGTTGGGAAGACGAAATTAAGATTGTTGTACTTTGCAAAGAAAAGTTCCTTTTTCAGGGTATCCCCCCCCCTACTCTATTTGTAAAATCCATGTTGTATAATTTATACAACATAAGATTTAGATGTTAAACCAAATAAAACAATTTGTTCAGTTTATATTGCATCACGGTTTTGAAAGGGAGAAAGCTTCTACTGGAGTAAATGCAAGACCTCTTAGAAATCATATATGTATTAATAGATGGTAATCAAATATTCATTGATCTCCTGTTTTACTTTAATGCTTGATATAATTAAGCACCAACCCGTTAAACATTATTTAATATTGCAAAGCAGATTACTGTTTCTTTCTAACTTTTTTTCACTCTTCGGACATTATGATTATGAATTGAGTACTTGGATGTCCTTCCTTGAAAAGGATGTCCTGTGCCTAATTGATTTTTTATTTTAGGTAAAGCGATTATGTGATCCATTATGTTACGGATATTAGTTCAAAATGAATTAGGATTTGCCACTTCTGTTTTCCTAACCAAAAGAAGAATGAGAGTGACTGTTCAAGAATATGGGGTAGAAGAGAGTAATTTTATATCTCATCAGTGGCATTTTCCTACCAGAAGCTACTGAGAGTTCTCAGGAACTTCAGACCTTTTATTACTTAGTTCAGAAGTTGCCTAACAGAGAAAATAAAATTTCAACTTCAGAAAGCTGTTGGAAGCTTCTCTTAGATGCTTCCACCCATTCAGTATTCATTGACTTTATTTGAAATTCCCATGTTTTTTAAAGAGTTGGATCAAGAAGCTAGAGAGAAAATTTGAAAAAGCGAGGATCAGATGCGAAATGCTCAGTAGAGGTTTCTTCTTGGCAAACGATAGCGATGTGTGCCCATTAGGTCTTCTCAGAAGCAGTCAGAACTTTGAAATCTGGCCATATGTGCCAAATCTTGGAATTTTGGTGCCAAAGTGTTGTAAGGCAAAATATTTTGCATTCTTTGGTAGTCTAAAGCCTACAGTAACTACAGGTCCTGTATGTGCTCCCTTGTGAACCTGGAATTTACATCTATACTTCTATGCTTTTCATCTACATTAACCTCCTTTACAGTATGCATTAAAAAAAAACCACACCCTGAATATACACCCCCTTTCCATTTGTCAAGTTTCCATCTTCACATTCCACTTGGCTGACATATCCTACTATTGTATTGCAATATTACTCAGTCTCCTTTCTGAGTCATAACTTCCAAATTAGAGGTTTCTACCATAATAGACTTCGTAATGTATGAAGGTGATAAATAAAATTAATTTTTTTAAATATTTTTTTAACAATTAGAATGGCTTATATATATTTATAATACTTTCTGTTAGATGCACCAGGTTATTCAAGGGAAAAATAAGTAGGACAGCTGAATATTGAAGTGATGGCTAACCTTTTCCCCATTGTGTCCCAAAAGTGGGGGGAGCGCAGAGGAGTTATGCGAGTGTCCCACACCCATAATGCTATGAGCGCAGCCCCTGAGCGCATGTGCACGTGACCCCCACCCCCGGCTTTTGGCACACGATGGACCCAATTTTCGCCCTCCCCAGACTCCAAAGGCTTTCTAGGAGCCTGAGGAGGGCGAAAACAGACTCCAACGTCCCCCTGGAGGCCCTCCGGAGCGCAAAAAAATGGGCCTATGGGCAAACTGGAAGTCACCACTAGGGAGGAATCTGTGAGTGGATATTATCTGGATCCCTAGAAGGGAGAGGAGGGTCTACTCCAGAGGAAGAAGAGGGAATTCTTTGGATAGGTTTGTGTGACAGAAAGAGGGTGAAGATAACCAGTTCCAAGAATTTGCTTCCTGGAGATAATAGTCTGCTTTCCTTTGGCAAGAATCTATTTGTAGGTGTGGAACAATAAACAAATCTTCTTGGAAGTCTTTCTATGTGTCTTTCTTGATTGTTGATGGAACCTGACAAGAATCTTTGGCAATGAAAAATTACAATGTTAAGGAGAACACTAAATGTGTCAGTGCTATTTTTAAAAAGAACTTAAGGATCCTTAAATGTTCTGCGCATTTTTATAATTTATTCATACACTAAAATAGTAAAATGAATTAGATGGTCCTGTGCAGGAACTAATTATGAAGACGCTTGGATTTCTAGGCTCTTCATTAAAGCAATAGGGAGAGGAAAGGAAATATTTGGATTTTTTTAAAGAAAAGTTACAGGGTCTTTTTTGTTTGTTCTATCAAATTAAAAAAATATATGAATATTTCCTCATTTTTAAAAGTACTATATCAGGTAATTAAGATGAGAAGGAAGTTGGTCTATATTTGGAATTTTCACACTAAATCAAATTAACAAGTGAAAGGTTAGAAAGGTTCTTCTTAATATTGTACAGTTATATTTTATGAAAGAAGTAAAAAATAGTAGAATCAGAAATGAAAATTGATTATGAAGTGCTTCATGTGGTAAAATGAGTATTTTAAGCTTCGGTTTAACCCACCTCTGTCAATTAGTGCTCCCTATATTTCTTAAAAACATGTTTGTTTTAATGTGGTGTTGTTTACTGATGTTTTAACGTTACAATTTTTGTCTGCTTGCTTTTCCTAAAGTAGGAAAAAATGAAACAATATCATTTTTAAATAAATTCATTTATAACAAAAAATTAAAAATACTCAAAGTAAATTCAGACAGGTTTATAATTATTATCTTAGGAAAGAGTGGTTTTTAATGTTTAAAGTGAACATGCTTTTATGTACAAACCAATGTAGTTAATAAATGAAGTTACAATAATGCTGAAAACGAGTTGCATATTTTGCATTTCCTCCCACATTTCTAGGTTTTTTACATTTATATTAAAACAATACATTTCTAATCATTACCATAAAAGTTAGTTTTAGACCAGGAATGGGTAAATTACCCTCAGAGCTGCATAATATCATGATTGGCAGCATAATTTCTGTGATTTTGGATAAAAACACATAAAAAAGCAGTATAAGCACGGGGTGCTCTTAATGTAGTTTAAAAACAAACTCAAGAAGTAGAAAAATTATGACTCCATACAGATGTACGAGGATTGAATTTTTCCAAGTGTTTAGTCTCTCTTGTTTTGCCCAAAGTTGGTAGATGCCACCGCTGCCTTTGACCCTTATTTACAAGGGCCTTGGAGTCAATCTTAAAAGAATTCCTTACATGAAATAAGATCATTGAAAACCAGATGCAGAATGATGTCACTATTTTATAACCCCAAATGCTTTTACAACACGAATGTCACATTTCATACTTTGTTGCCTGACAGTGTTTCTGAAATGTCAGGCAACTGAGATACGCTCATTTTCCGAATTAAAATTCAAGGCACTTCCCTTAATGGTTTTGGAAAGTTTACACTGACGGTATATAGAACTTCAGGTGACAGAACGCAATGTGAGTTTCTGAACATCTCTCATGAATGGGAAGAGATCATAGAGCCCTGATTCCAGGATTTTCCTTCTAAGAACGTGTGTTTTTGCTGCATCACTGTGGTTGAATGATCCATTCATTCAGAAATGCTGGGCAGAATAATTCACCCCTCCTGCTGGGAAGGAGGCAGAGCTGGAAGAGCAATTCATGCTGAGGTGCTGCAGAGATTTCTGCTGTCTCACGAATTTGTATCTTGGGCTTTCATGGGGCTTTCATTTAATTTATGTAATGTATATCTGATGGCTCACTACTTGAGAATTTGTTCTTATTGGAACGGGTTGCTCTTATCTTGCATGTTTTCAGTTTAAGAGAAAGCACTGAGCACATTATTTCTTGTAAATGTATTATCACTTAGTAATTTTCCCCCCTTTATTTTCTTTAAAAGATATTTGATTTAATGGATGCAAAGGCACGTGCGGACTGTATTAAGGAAATTGATCTTCTTAAGGTAATTTTTCTTTTTCTTTTCTGGAATGAATATATTCCGGCATTACAATTTTGATAATAAGGATGTGGCTAATTTTGTGCATGTTATCACATATGAGTAGCAAGCTATCTTAGCTTAGAGCTTCACTGAATAGTCAGTTTGAATTACAATTTAATGTCAGATTCACATTCATCTGTGGAATTTGGCGCAGACTAAATCTGGCCTACTGACTTTTTTCTGGGGAAAGGAGAATGAATCATGGAAAAGCATCGAAAGCCTTCCAGCTTCTTAAAACTGTGACTAAACAGATCTTTCCTACCCATCTTACAGTACACCTGATATACTTGATGAAGTGAGTCATAGTTTAAAGACTTCATTCAATAATAAATTGATCCAACCTTTAATTCAAAGATCTTATATGAATTTTTGTTGTTTTTCCTCTATAGACTAATTTGGCTCTCCATCTAGAAATTAATTTAAATATGTACATTTGATAAATTAAGGGGGTCTCAACTCCACATAGATTATAAGCTATATTTTAAGTTAAAATATAACTTAAGTTTTATTTTAAGTTACCTATAATTTTAAATAGGATCAGTTGTTCACCCATGGGTTATAGAGTTCTTTTTTTTTTAACATGCTACCTTTCTCTACTGCCTTCCTTTACTTTGAAATGTATTTGTTATACGGATAGTGATACAGGCACAAAGTCATTTTCCAAGGAATATAAACATATTCACAAAAAGGAAAATACATAGCAGAGAATATTTGTATATATTGTATTACCCTTGAATCAATTACTCTATTTTTTGTTGTCAAACCTTGTAAAGTGATAGGTTCCCATTTTGCTTTATTTTTAAAATGTTTCTAAAATCTGCCTAATAGCAGATAGTGTTTGCCAGAGGGAAATATATTTCGCTTGTTTTAAAAATCTTTATTATAACATATGATTTTAAAAATTAGGTATGTAACCTATGTTTTAGTTATTATATTTGCAACTTTTATTCACGCAGATATTTATTTACTGACCATGCAAGTTACAGCCCACTTCCCCCCGGGCTACACATGGCTCATTGAAATTTTGGTCACTTCCCCATGGTCACATGACCACATTTTGGATGCTCAGCAATTGACCACATTCATGACTATTTGCAGCGTTTGAGGGTCACGTGTTCACAATTCACAATCCCCCCCCTTTTTTTTGGCCAAAAACTGGCATTTACTTTAATTTTTAACAAAAAAATACCAATTTTCAGACAATGGATGTGTTTAACAACCCACCACAAAAAAGGTTGTAAAATTGGGTATAGTCCTGTGGTAACTCACTTAACAATCAGCATGACTTACATCCATAATTCTGGGGTCAATTGCAGACATGAGTCTGTCTGTACAAGCGTACATTAATCTGTTCATAATTTTACCTTTTCAAAAGTTTATTCTGCAGCGTGCTTGAGATGATACATCAAACCTTTGCACTGGAAAAGCTAACATCTTTAGGTTTTAAATTATTTTATGTATTGTTTTACTTACAATGCTAACATTGAAAGCAACAGCATTTGCTAGAATTCGTTTTGGAATTGGCCATTTTTTTAAAAAAAATGGTAACATTCGGCATTGGCAAAGGGTAGATCCTTGCACAGAACAGGTTTCAGCATAGAGAAACCTATTTCCTAATTGTCGCTAAAAAGTTATTTGTATTCTATTGTACAGGCAAATCTTGAATCCTAGTGACTACATGAATAAAGTCCCTGCGGGTTTCTTAAAGGCTTTCAAAAGTGCTTTTCCATTTGCCTTCTTCCTAGATCTGAGAGAAAATGAATGGGCCAAACTCAT